CCCCCCATCAAGTGTGCATACACAACTTCCTGAAGGAAAATTTGCTCACACAAAAAACTAAGACTTTTTTATCCCAGCAGCAACTCTGTTGAACGTACATTTTTATTCATTTATATCTATATATGGTCAATTGCCAAAAACTGCACCATTTTCAGGTGCTTTTGACATTTCTTAAATTTTGAGTCTCATACCAAAGTATTATGCTTTATTTTGTATTATATCTGTGCAGAAATGGTGGATCGAACAGGAGGCACCAAAAAATTATCTAGCTGGAAAAATAGATTTAAGGGAGAAAATAAGGCACAGTTTTTGGCAATTGACCATGTGTGTAAATATATATATATATATATATATCTCTCTCAATAAAACCATCCACTGTAACACTAGTTAGTGGGGCCTTGATAGCTTAGTGGATTTATGAACCAATCAGTAATTGTGAGATTGCAACTTGGGTGGTTCGAGCTTCAGCTCAGTCTGACAACGTACCCTCGGGAAAAGCACTTTATACAAATTGTTTTACCATTTGGCTTAGTCTGTTCCGAGACGGACGTTACATTCAGAGGTCTTGCATAACCTTCCAGTGTTGCAAGAAGCTACATACACGTTCTCTTTTCTCCCACTATTCAGTCCTCTGGCGTTTACAATAACCTTCCAGTGTTGCAAGAAGCTGTAGCCACAAACAACTTTTGGAACACTGATGGCTGCACAATCAGATTCTCATTTGACAATCAGAGAAACTTTGTCAGGGCCAGAGAGACACAGCTTAAACTGACCCCTTATTCAATCAGGAACCAAGTACAGAAACAAAATTAGGGCCTCATTTCTCTTAATGCCCAAACTTGATGAATAAACTCAACAATCTGTGAATAACTGTTCAAATCGTCGGCAGAGAATTCTAACCGTCTAACTCCAAATTTTCTCGAATTGCTTTTTTCCTTAAAATAGATTGACATAACGAATGGCTACGTCCTATTAAAATCTAGAACAATTTTGACAAACAAAAGTCTTGTTTTAAAGAGAAATTCTAACCGTATATTCCGACTGACTTCCGTGACTGAAGAATTCTAACCGTCTAACTCGTTTAGGTAGTCCGCCATTGTGGATCACGGCGATAACGTTACGCTCTGAAGGAGGCGTTTGATTATAAATAAAATTCTTTTTTCCTTAAAATAGATCGATATGACGAATGGCTACGTCCTATTAAAATCTAGAACGATTTTGACAAACAAAAGTCTTGTTTTAAAGAGAAATTCTAACCGTATATTCCGACTGACTTCCGTGACTGAAGAATTCTAACCGTCTAACTCGTTTAGGTAGTCCGCCATTGTGGATCACGGCGATAACGTTACGCTCTGAAGGAGGCGTTTGATTATAAATAAAATTCTTTTTTCCTTAAAATAGATCGACATGACGAATGGCTACGTCCTATTAAAATCTAGAACAATTTTGACAAACAAAAGTCTTGTTTTAAAGAGAAATTCTAACCGTATATTCCGACTGGCTTCGGTGACTGAAGAATTCTAACCGTCTAACTCGTTTAGGTAGCTCGCCATTGTGGATCACGGCGATAAAGTTTTGCTCTGATGGAGACGTTTGATTTTAAATAAATGTAAAATCAGAAAAGGTTGCTTTTGTTAAAGGGTTGGTTGACTGTGTCGAGCCTGTGGAGAAAAAGGAGAGAGAAAGCAGAAGATCGTGGTCCATGAAGTACCATCTGCGAGTGAATGGGGCCAGAGTCCAAGAGTGCACGGATTTCTTCTTAAGTCCTGTACTTTGTTACTAGTGTGTTCACATTGTTCTCACATCTGGGTTGGGTGTAGCAGAGGGTGAGGTTCCAGTTCAGAGAAAAAGGGTTAGGGATGAGACTACAGCATCAAAGGTACTTAAACAGTTTCTTCGTGATCTGCCCAAGTTGCCGTCTCACTATTGCCGAAGGACTCCAGTAAGTTATACTTGGAACCTGTTTTCCAGAGCTTACAGGCAGTGTACCGCCGTTTGTATAAAGAAAAGTATGAGGGGGGGGGTACTTTCTACCTTCAAGTTTAAAGAGAAGATCAATGCTATGAACCTGTCATGGTTCCATCCTCGAAAAGATAGGTGTGATCTTTGTGTGGGCTTTGAGGAGAGGAATGTGGAAGAGGGGGCATACAAAAAAGACAATAGACAAGAAGGAAAAATGCATGGGCAGCCCCAAAATCAAATACATGTACATCAAAATGGACCAGCAATCAGTTCTGCTATATCCACGCACCAATGCTTCTGCTTTGTACTACAAGAGGAAATTGAATGTACACAATTTCACAGTATAGGAACTAGAGAGCAAGGACTGTGTATGTTATGTCTCAAATGAATGCGAAGGTGCTCTGACTGCAAATAAATTTGCTCCTTGTGTGGCTGATTTTTTGTCATCTGATTTGACTCCAGATCATTATATTCAGATGGATGTGGTTGTATCAGAACTGCAAAGTCACAATGAGTTCTGCCATGTTACATTTCAGCTCTGTCAATGGTAAAACTGTAACATTAAAATTCCTGGAGAAGGGCTATACACAGATGGAGTTGGACAGTGCTCACAGCACATCCACTACCCAGCTGATTATGTCAGGCTAATGGAAGAAAGTAGGAAAGTGAAGCCATATGTAGTCAAGTATTTGACTCCTTGTATCTTTTCTGATTTCATCAAACTAACCAACCAGAGTTTACACACCAGATGGTCAAATTAAATACAAACTGAGATTTGATGATGACTGGTCACATCTGCCTTTGAAGCGTGGCGAGTCCACAGACATTCTCCATAAAGACATGAAGGGACTGCCTCTGTACCAGGGTAGAAAGTTTAATTCGTCCATAGAGAACTTTAATAACACATGCAAGAAATGAAGTCTGTTGTGCCATCTGACTACTACAAGTTCTATGACAATCTAGAATTGAGTACGTCACCAGTGCGCAAGTCAAAACCCACGGTTAAGTCTAATTTGATATGCAGTGTATTGTGTTTTGGTTTATGTAGTTTATTTTTAGCCAACCAGAGCTTTAGCTTCATTGGGTAGAGCATTTTAAAGCCTCATAATGGTGCTTGGACAAGAGGATAATTCATTCCTGTTGACACTGGATGCTGCTATGGCATACCTCATCTTGATGACTTTCTATGTAAAATGTGTTATTTAATTAGGCCATACATTAGTTGGGGATGCATTATATGAGGTTTAGTTGAGCTTTAAAAAAATCACATTACTTCTAGAGTCTTCCAACCAAATTAAACCCTGTTTTTAGAGTTAGAAGCATTTCAGTTTCTTCCACTGGAGAACTGATGGGTCTCTTTTCAATCTTGCTCGACTTCGAGCCAAGACCAAAATCAACAAACCAAACAAGAATACGAGACCTTTTCTTTGCCGGTGATGCTGCTGTTGTCGCTCATAATGAATCAACCCTACGAATAATCCTGTGTTTAAGAAGATTGAGATGGCTGGGCCATGTCAAGAGAATGGACGACAACCGGATTCCAAAGCAATTTCTCTATGGACAACTTGCCCAGGGAAAGGGACCAAGGGGAAGGTCAAAACTGAGGTACAAAGACATCTGCAAAAACAGATTATCTAAGCTTGGAGTAGATGTCAGCATCTGGGAAGAAATAACCGAGGACAGGAAAACATGGAGGAAAATGATAAATGAAAGAACTATTATGCTAGTGACTAGAGAGCAAGCACTGCGACAGAATCTGTACTTCAAACAGGAAAAATTAGCCATAAAAGTAGCTCCATGAAGACAATTCGTATACGGAAATTCTTCTCTGCCCCCCCCCCCTCTCTCTCTCTCTCTCTCTCTCTCTCTTTCTCTCTCTCTCTCTGTCTCTCTCTCTTTCAGACCCCTCCCCCCCCCCTCTCTCTCTCTCTCTCTCTCAGTCCCCCCCCCTTCTCTCTCTCTCAATCTCTCTCTCTCTCTCTCTCTCTCTCTCTCTCTCTCTCTCTCTCTCTCTCTCTCTCTCTCTCTCTCGCTCTCTCTCTCTCTCGCTCGCTCTCTCTCTCTTGTAGCTAGACAAGAAACCAATCCTTCTCACAATTTCCTTGAGAATGGAGGATCAAATAGATCTAGTAGCTTTATAGTAAAAACTTAACGACGCACTCAATCTGTCGACAAGCCCATTGCCTAATTAGAATTATGTGGAAATAAAGTGCGACGTTCAGTTTTAGATATAATAAAACAGTATTAATGTTAGATTCTAGATCTACAGTACTATGTAATACTAATTAGAACTTTTATAGTAGGCTTCCTGTTGGATTGACTGCAGGTGTAGTCATTTTGAGTTGTTCGGTAACACTAACGTGTCACGATGACTGAGTTAGACGTAACGAAGTGCGTGGCGTCCCCGCCGGGTTGGAGAATTCTAAACGAACAATTCGTTCGTCGACACTTGGACGGTTAGAAATCCAAAACTGAGCGGTCTATCCGTATAACTCTGGTTTAGCACTTAAAATAATAAAATTTCGGCAATTTTGTTTTACATACTTAAAAGTAGAGTCATGTATTCCAGTCTAGCGCATTTAAAGATAGTAAATCCCCATAGGAGCCTTTGAATTCAGTTTTTTGTCTCTCCTGCAAAATTTACGAAATCGGAGTTGGACGGTTAGAATTCTCCGTCGACGAAATGGATATCTGGAAACAGTTCCAGAGGAAAAACTAGACTCACTTCAGAAGCATTACTTTTGCAATCTATGAACAAGATCAGGTTTTGCTTGATGCATTCCTTGACACAGTCCTCCAATGAAGGCACTCGAACTGAAGGAAACCGGCTCCTGAGGACAAGAGAAGAAAAAGGCAAATTGAAAAGTGTGCTCACTTTACATTACAGTTGTCAAGAGCAACAAACCCTAATCCAGTGCCATTTTGAGGCAACGGCACTTCATCGACGCTTCGAAGAGCGTGAATGGACTATATTCACAGCATTATTCACAGCACTACTCACAGCACTACTCACAGCACTATTCACAGCACTACTCACAGCACTACTCACAGCACTATTCACAGCACTACTCACAGCACTACTCACTAAGCGATGGTGTGCACATGCTACAATACAATAACATCACTCCATCATTCCTAAAGCTTCAATTTCCAGTAGGGGAAGTGGGAATCACTGTGACAGCCTACTGGCACGCTCATTTCTGGCAAACATCGGGGGGGGGGGGGGGGGGGGGGGGGGGGGACATACGGGAGGGTGGGATCATCTGTGGCCGTCAAAGAAGACTTTTCTTACACATTATATCAGAAACAGACAGACTTTTCCTACACATTATATCAGAGACAGACAGACTTTTCTTACACATTGTATCAGAGACAGACAGACTTTTCCTACACATTATATCAGAGACAGACAGACTTTTCTTACACATTATATCAGAGACAGACAGACTTTTCTTACACATTATATCAGAGACAGACAGTGGCCAAAACTCTGATGATAAAGTCATGCACAGACATATAAAAAAACCCCAACAACAACAGATAAAAAATTAAATAAAAGCACAAATTCACATGTATCAGGAAGTATTGCTAAAAAAACAAACACATGTACAGTCTGCCGCGTGATACACAAACAGTCCAGCAATCAGTGTAACGTTTCGCTGAGCCTGCCCTGCCAGCCGCTGTGCTCACACTCACTTATTTGCATCCTTGGCAGCCGCGTTCAGTTTCTGAAGTTGGTCAAAAGTGTAGTTGGAGACAAAACCTGTCCCATCTGTAGTGTCGTCAACTTTAGGCCCATGAATCACCACACCCACACCGTCTTTGCTGAACTCTAAATCTATTTCCACACTGCGCACTCCAAGGTCTGCTGCCTGCAAAAGAAAGCAACATCTAAGTACCATTTATTGACAGAAGTAGAAAGCAAAGAAGAAATGAAGAAGAAATGAAGAAGAAATGAAGAAGAAATGAAGAAGAAATGAAGAAGAAATGAAGAAGAAATGAAGAAGAAATGAAGAAGAAATGAAGAACAGTAGGAAAAAACAGCATACAAAACCAAAACTGGAGATAGGAGTGGGCTGTAGACTACAAACAGGAGTGCTATATATTGTATTGTAGGCTACAAACAGGAGTGCTATATATTGTATTGTAGGCTACAAACAGGAGTGCTATATATTGTATTGTAGGCTACAAACAGGAGTGCTATATATTGTATTGTAGGCTACAAACAGGAGTGCTATATATTGTATTGTAGGCTACAAACAGGAGTGCTATATATTGTATTGTAGGCTACAAACAGGAGTGCTATATATTGTATTGTAGGCTACAAACAGGAGTGCTATATATTGTATTGTAGGCTACAAACAGGAGTGCTATATATTGTATATATATATATATATAAGGCAGCGTGGTGAAATCAGGCACTTGTCAAAATACAGATATCGCAGAAATGGGTATTTTCTTCCAGTTTGGAAATTTAAAGCAAATTTTACTTTTTGGCTCCACCACTTTAATGTCCATATAAAATCACATTTCCATGGGAATTTGACCGAGAAAAAAACCATTGATCAAAGGCACAAAATATCCCTTTTTTATTTTTCAAGGACTCTAGCTATTAGCGGCCATTTTCTCGCTAATTTCTCACAACTACAACCAGGCGACCCCCCTTCCTTCAATCTCAAATATCTCGAGTCTTATTTAGATAAAAGGATACCTTCTATTTCATTGAAAGCAAGGCAAATAAATCAGCTCTCAGATGGTACCAGTAACTCCACATGCTCAAAAACTGAGGAGCGGCTGATTCCACCGCGTCGTGACACATATTACACACTTGCTGGGCCGGCCCCCTTTCCAAGAAAGGAATGATCGGTGCATTAACTTCAACTGAAAGTCATTGGTCTACTATATTTACATTCTACTGGAATGGAGCAATAAATCTTGAGAGAAAAGTGACACATTTCATGAGTTTCCAAGTTGCCAAATACAATGCATGCGTGTGAGGTGTCCGAACCACTTGATCTTTCGTCTCTCGATGTGTGGTAGGACTGGTGTTGCTCCTACCGTGTCTCTTTTGCCTTCACTTATTTATTTTGTCTCGTCTTGTCTTGTTAACCGTTCTTCTTAAAATTTCATCTCGCATGTGACCAGCTTCCTCTCTAGGGCTTTTGTTAGGGACCATGTCTGGCACTGAATGTGAGTGTTGGTCGGAAAATGGCGTTGATGAGCTTCGCCTTGGTGCTCATGTAGATAGTGGGATGTTTCAGGAGAGGGCCGAGTTGATGACTGACTGACGCCTGTTTCTCCCCGCGACACCCACCAGGAGAGGGCCGAGTTGATGACTGACTGACGCCTGTGTCTCCCCGCGACACCCACCAGGAGAGGGCCGAGTTGATGACTGACTGACGCCTGTGTCTCCCCGCGACACCCACCAGGAGAGGGCCAAGTTGATGACTGACTGACACCTGTGTCTCCCCGCGACACCCACCAGGAGAGGGCCGAGTTGATGACTGACTGACACTTGTGTCTCCCCGCGATACCCACGGTACAAGCGGAAGAAAAAAGTAAAGTAAGTAAAGTAAAGTAAAGTAAAGTAAAGTAAAGTAAAGTAAAGTAAAGTAAAGTAAAGTATAAACACACTATTCTAAAACCACATTTCTTTTGTTTCTTTATCTTTGTCAATAAAATACTGCTATAGCGCAATCAGACAAACACGCGAGTTGGTTATAACAGAATATTGCTGCTGCTGTGCACAGCGCATAGGCCCATGTAACCAGATGGCGAGTTAGCCTATAGAACTTTCTTTCTGATCGTCAACGCCGAGTTGTCAACATCGCTAGCGCTAGAGAAAGAAACCTGATTCGATTTTTGAGCAAGTAAGCTTATGTTGAACAAAATCATCATCAGGGGAGATAACAAAAAGAAATAAACAAAACACCAAACTCATGAATTTATAAGGCTTACATTATCATTTCCCTTGAATTTCTTACTGGATCCCTTATAAGGAGAATCCTGCTAGAACTTACAATAACAGACATTCGCACCAGTTCCGTCCCTTTAGTTGTAACAGGACTCCACAGAACTGTAGTAAATTATGGTGTGGGCTAATATTATATATATAGAGTCAGGTACACTGTAAAATATGGCGTGGGTTAGTAAAGGAACTTAGCACAGTCAAGCACACTGTAAAATATGGCGTGGGTTAGTAAAGGAACTTAGCACACAGTCAAGTACACTGTAAAGTGTGGGATGGGGTAGTTTTAGTTTTAGTAGAGGTTTTACGGCGCTCGCAACTGCATAAGTTCATATGAGCACCAGAAGATTAGAGGTGTTACAAGAGAGTAACAAACATAAAAAAGAAGAAGGGGAGATAAAGACGATAGATGTTTGATAGAAAAGAAGGAGCAAACCACAGCAGAGCACCCGCCAACCACCCACTTGGTGTGGGTTAGTAACTTTGCACAGTAAAGTATACTGTAAAGTGTGGTGTGGGCTGGTAAGTGTGTCAAGTATACTTTTTTTTGGGTGTTTTACTGCGCTCCCAACTGAATAAGGTCATATGAGCGCCCGCGACACATAAAAAATTTTCAGTTGGTAGGATATTTTTAATTTTACCCGGGTGGTGCCCGACGCCTACTCATATCGATTTTAGGACCACCAAGGGATCTTTAACTAGCGCAACTTGAACACGGGACCTCCGTGATTTTTCCCCCTTGTTCGAGAAGGCTAGGTGTAGATCTTTCCTACCAAAAGATCAGGGGTGTGGCTGAAAGACAGCAGTTAGAAGGAGCCAAGGAGTAACAGCAGAAAGGCTGCAGAAAGAGTCAGGAGCCCAGAGGAGGGGGCAAAGAAGGTGAGGGCATGGGGGCAGAAAGGGGAGACAAAAGCAGACGACAGAATATTGCTAGAGAGCAGGAAAGGAGATGTATTTTCCATCGCTACACGGATGTGAACCCGGGACCTTTGAAAGAGAGGCGAACACCTTAACCTTGACCATCAATGATTTATTTCCACTAGGCCACAAGAGCCCCCTGGTATACTGTGTGATGAGGCAAGACTTACAAAAGTCATACCTGATGTGTTGTCCTCCCCTTGCCCCTCTTGATTCTCCTCACCTTTTCTTTTCACTATTCTGCCTTAAAATCTATTCTCTCCATTCCATTCTTTTTATTTTTAACTTCTTCCTGCTTTCTTTCATCTCTTTTCAAGTTCACTTTAGATTTCGGTAGAGTCTAGTGGCACCAGGATTTTGATCCACGGGGACTGCATGACTAGGGGGACCAGGATTTTGATCCACGGAGATTAAAATTGTGGTCTTTTCATTCAAAACTTGGATGGGTTAGGAAGTGAGAAAGAAAGAAAGAAAGAAAGAAAAAAGAAAGAAAGAAGAAAGAAAGAAAGAGGGTGAGAGAGAGAGGGAGAGAAAAGGTGTGTGAGAGAGAGAGAAAACGTGTGAGAGAGAGAGAGAAAAGGTGTGTGAGAGAGAGAGAAAAGGGGAGGGGGGGGAGGCGTGAGAGAAAGAGAGGGATGAATAAGTGTACACCATACAAAGGGAATGATTTAGAGAAAAATGAAAAGAAGGATACAAGTGCGCGTGCTCAGGCGTGTTCTGCGTGCAGGCATGAGTACAGTTTTAACCTTTGCTTCAAAGTATTGCCCAATGGACAGCAATGCGACCTTCCCCGCCATTTGGGAAAACAAAATGACAACAACTGGAAGCAAAAGGAAATGACTCATGAGGTCACGCAGGCGCAAAAGCAAAATATTTTCCTGGTCGTCCTAGACAGGCTGTCTCCGTGGACCATGACAGAGTGTCTCCGTGGACCATGACAGGCTGTCTCCATGGACCATGACAGAGTGTCTCCATGGACCATGACAGGCTGTCTCCGTGGACCATGACAGAGTGTCTCAGTGGACCATGATAGGCTGTCTCCGTGGACCATGACAGAGTGTCTCCGTGGACCATGACAGGCTGTCTCCGTGGACCATGACAGAGTGTCTCCGTGGACCATGACAGGCTGTCTCTGTGGACCAGGATCCTGACAGAGTGTCTTCGTGGACCATGACAGAGTGTCTCCGTGGACCATGACAGGCTGTCTCCGTGGACCATGACAGAGTGTCTCCATGGACCATGACAGGCTGTCTCCGTGGACCATGACAGAGTGTCTCAGTGGACCATGACAGGCTGTCTCCGTGGACCATGACAGAGTGTCTCAGTGGACCATGACAGGCTGTCTCCGTGGACCATGACAGAGTGTCTCCGTGGACCATGACAGAGTGTCTCCGTGGACCATGACAGAGTGTCTCCGTGGACCATGACAGAGTGTCTCCGTGGACCATGCCAGGGTGTCTCCGTGGACCATGACAGAGTGTCTCCGTGGACCATGACAGAGTGTCTCCGTGGACCAGGATCCTGACAGAGTGTCTCCGTGGACCAGGATCCTGACAGAGTGTCTCCGTGGACCATGCCAGGGTGTCAGGATCCTGGTCTCGGGAGACACTTCCTTCTATTGTTCTTCTCCTCCTTTGTCACTTCACGGCTGTCCCCCACACTGGCCCAGTCCTTCCACACAAGGATTGAGATTTTCAAAAGTTGTCAAGTTTGTACAGCCTCATCCGAAAAACTACAATTCAGGGCTAAAAGGTGCTATAACAGATTACATACAAAGAAAAAATTACAAATAAGTTGAATAAATTCTTACCATCTGAATGGCTTCAACAGTATTGAATAAATTCTTACCATCTGAATGGCTTCAACAGTATTGAATAAATTCTTACCATCTGAATGGCTTCAACAGTATTCTCAGGTGCATGATGAGCGCCTCCTTTGTGAAAAATGATATTCTTCTTTAAGTCATCATTGTCAAATTTGAACAAACTCAAAATGTTGTCACTGACACGGCTTTCGTCAAGCCGAGGTAATTTCACGTATTGAATTGCACCAAGGACAACTGTGAAGAGCACTAGGGCAATTCCAAAAGAATTTGTGATGAATGTATTCAAAGCCATCCATAAAATCAGAGCAGTTCCAAAGAGAACCAAGTTCCTTGTTGAAATGAGCATCTTGCAGACAGACCAGACCTCCACTTTGGACCACTTCCTGAAACTAGATCAAAAGAAAATAACATGAGGATTTTTATCGATTTTATTGAGAAACAGATTTTTATTAGCCAATAAACCGCTATATATATAAGGGCCTATACCTCAAAGACTAGATTGATTGTAACTGAAAATCATCTCAAAATAAAAAAAACTAATTTAACATTTTAGGATACTGTTATTTTCATACATATGACATTTTTTTAACAAAGGGCAGAAGAGTATATCCTAAGTAAAGTATCCTAAGTAAAGTATCCTAAGTAAAGTGTTTCAAAGTGTATCCTAAGTAAAGTGTATCCTAAGTAAAGTATCCTAAGTAAAGAGTATCCTAAGCAAAGTATCCTAAGTAAAGTGTATCCTAAGTAAAGTGTATCCTAAGTAAAGTGTATCCTCAGTAAAGTATCCTAAGTAAAGTGTATCCTAAGTAAAGTATCCTAAGTAAAGTGTATCCTCAGTAAAGTATCCTAAGTAAAGTGTGTATCCTAAGTAAAGTGTATCCTAAGTAAAGTATCCTAAGTAAAGTGTATCCTAAGTAAAGTGTATCCTCAGTAAAGTATCCTAAGTAAAGCGTATCCTAAGTAAAGTATCCTAAGTAAAGTGTATCCTCAGTAAAGTATCCTAAGTAAAGTGTATCCTCAGTAAAGTATCCTAAGTGGGGTCTTCTGAGTCAATACAGACCTATCATGCGGGAAGGAAAATATAACAAGGCACACTAAAATGAGCTGATCGGTGGTGTGTTCTATTTAGCATAATATAATGAGCTGATCGGTGGTGTGTTCTATTTAGCATAATGAGCTGATCGGTGGTGTGTTCTATTTAGCATAATGAGCTGATCGGTGGTGTGTTCTATTTAGCATAATATAAAGAGCTGATCGGTGGTGTGTTCTATTTAGCATAATGAGCTGATCGGTGGTGTGTTCTATTTAGCATAATATAATGAGCTGATCGGTGGTGTGTTCTATTTAGCATAATATAATGAGCTGATCGGTGGTGTGTTCTATTTAGCATAATGAGCTGATCGGTGGTGTGTTCTATTTAGCATAATGAGCTGATCGGTGGTGTGTTCTATTTAGCATAATGAGCTGATCGGTGGTGTGTTCTATTTAGCATAATGAGCTGATCACTGTCTATTTGACATAATAATGAACTGATAAAAGATACTGCACAACTCGGATTGAACGTAGTCGTCGAGCCTGACCTTCAATTTCATTCAATCCAAGTGTTCATTAAATTATAGTTAAATAGTAAACATGAGTAGTGTGGTTTCAAAAGAGAGGCATTTTGGTTTCTTTGATGCCATACGGAAGACATGCTGGAAAATCCTTCCAGGAAATTAATATACTGAACTCTACATACTGTGCAAAAGGCAAAGGGCTAATTCCTTCAAATGCACGCCGGTGTCATCTTATGGGGTATTGTTTGCCGAACAAGTTGTGTTGCTGTAGTGTAGAGTCGAGCATACGCAACATAATTTGATTCCATAGACCAGCAGGCAATTCACTCCTGATGCTTCATGCCCAGACCGCTTGTGTCCCATCCCCACTACATATATCACAATTGGCCCAATTGCGTTGTTACATTTTAAAACTTGTTTATAATTAACTTCATATGGAAAAATTAGGCTTATCGTAATGTACCGTCAAAGCCCATTATATCGCCTACCTCAGGGCGAGCATGAAGTTGGCGGTACAGCGGGGGAAGAGATACAACAAGGTTTTCCTCTGTTGAATACATGTATGTATAGCACCGACTGCCCAACGTCAAGGGAACTTCTTTACCATTTCCGGGGGGGGGCGAGATGGTGAGCCCTACTGCGTAGTGGATGTGTCGTGTGTATGTGTAGCCTAGTGTGTTGTACTGCGTAGTGGATGTTGTCGTGTGTAGCCTGGTGTGTACTGTACTGTGTAGTAGGTGCCGTGTGTAGCCTAGTGTGTTGTACTGCGAAGTGGATGTGTCGTGGGTGGCTAGTGTGTACTTCGGGCAGCCAGTTCGCTGGTGGTACAATGGGGTAAATTTACAGTAGTTTAAGGAACATACAAATGGGACATCTAGCTGTATGGTGGTGTAGAGAGGTGGAATTCATGTTTCTATAGGGGACCCTTTTCATACATTGGCAAAACCTGGCAGTAAGCAGGTCTGGCGGTACAACAAGGTTTTCATGTTCACTGCTAAATACATGTTGCACCGACTGTCCAACGTTTACCGATTTGTAGTGGGGGGCACG